GCGCGGTCTTCGGTTGTTCAAACGCTGCCAGAGCTTCAGCAGAAGTGGCCGCAGTTGAAGTGCAAGGGCTGGTGGATTTTAAACAGAATATGAGAATGACCCTCAGCCAATCTTCACTGAGATGGCCAACAGCACGGGCAGAGGCAGTGGTGACGGGGATCAATGAAGACTGGCCTTGAAGTGAAGCACATTTTTGTCACGAGCAGTCTCGAGGCAAGCGCCCTCGCAGGCTTTCCATATTTTATGAAAGTATGTTCCCGTTCCCAAATTCAGCCTGGAGGCTGCAACATACTCCACTCTGTGTCGAGCATCTGTGTGACATGGAAAGAGATGGTTTGGTTCCAATTTCCAACAGATTGGGTTGTAAGATTCTAATGAGAAGCAGCAAATCATGCAGATTGCACTTTCCATATGTGTATCATGCCATACTTGTAACCGCTCCAAATTCATCAACTTCAGATTGGGTCCCAGGCCGAGAGTGCCCTAAAAGCACTCCAGCTTCCACCATGTGTGGAGTATAGACTGTAGAGCAACTTGCTTCGTTGCTTTCCAAGCAGTGTGCAGTGTATCTGTTGCATGACCAGCACAAAGATGTGTATAGTTGTAGCTGCTTTGCTTGGTTGTTAGTTGGCCATTGATGCTGGGCCTGGTCACAAGCAATTCACGCCTTCGACTCACGATGCGAGGGGGGAAAGAGAAGAGGAGACAGGGCGGAGACAGTGCGTGTGGCACTTGGTCTTGGTCTTGGTCTGTTGAGACATCAAGTGATGCTGACCATCTGCAGATCGCCGGTGACTCCGTTGAACTCCGTGGGCCGATCGGTGTCTCAGGCCGAAGATGAAGACGGAGGTCTGGTCGAAGACGCGCTGACGACCTGAAAAACCGGACGTGTGAATAAACAAGGAAGCCGGCCAGATCTCGCAGGTGCGTCGGCATGGTGACATGGTTCAGACTATTGTTCAGACGTAGCTTCTTGTTCGTAAGAATGCTCCGGACTCGAGTCGCGATGCCAGTTTCGCCCCGTTCGTAGTGTCCTTGCTCCTAGTAGTAAGGCCAGGAGCCCCGTTCGTAGCTTCTTGTTCCTAGTAGGGTAGGTTTGTTAGGATCCTCACACAGGAAACGCGAAAGCACTCTGCAACGCTCTTTGTAGTCTTTGACTTCGCTACTGGAGAAAGGAGGTGGTGGGTGATCATTCTTGTGATGCCTCTGTGGGGTCAGTATGCAACCGTTATGTAACCCATAGTTGACGAAATTTATTCTGGGTCTGGGTTTAGAATATCTTCATGCATTTTGACATATGACCCACATCATGATGGGTTAAGGTGAAGGAACACCCGAAGCTACAGTCAGTAGGTATATAATCATGTTCGGCAAAACCATTAGTGTTTTTTGGGGAATGGGCTGTGCCGTGCTGAAGCTGGCTAGTCTCGTCACATCAAAATTGGACATGGAGTTGTTTTGGAAGCAATGCCTTGCAGTCTATTGGGGCATCGGGAACAGGCGTGCGATTTTGGGTGGCTCAAGCTGTTTGAATTAGTGCAGGTCATGCTATGCTTCAAAATAGCGACGGAATGATTCACATGCCGTTCCAGATGCTGTACAACAGTTTGCAGAATAAGGTTTCCAGATGCGCTTCCGGTAGCAACTGCATTACAAAGCCAGCCCACAAACCAATATTGTAGTTAAATGGGAATTGCTTAAAACATTGGTGTTTGTGCAAACATTTTCTGGAAATGCACATTTTCTCAACGACAGAGAGGGGGTTCAGGCACCTATGGTTTTGGATGTTGTGTTTAGACCAGAGCTATACAAAACTTCTTCTGCACGATTTCTGTACAAAGACATGGCCGTGCCCATCGTGCTGCACTTGCTGCTGCTGTGGCAGGCCCAAAACCTGGCCCCCAAACAACCCCAACCCTGTGGCAGATTGAGAACACGTGACTGATGGGGGTAGTTGATTGAACATCAGGACTCTCAATCAAACGTTTTACCATCAGGCACTCTTGTTCTCAAGTAGAACAAATGTACTGTATAGATGGAACGTGTGAACGACGGTGGGAGCACGGTTGGGTTCCACGTGTGAACGACGTGGGAGCACCTTGTCCCTCCGGCTGCAGAGGCCCACGCGCAGACTGCGGCTAATCAGAATAATCAAAACTTCCAGCCGTTCGGACACCCAGCAGAGATCTCGGCGAAACGAGCGTGCCGCAGCGCCGCAGCGTGCCTGCCTTTCTGTGAGAAAACAGGTTTATTCCTCTAATTTTTTGTTCACCTATCCACTGTGTAGAACTGTATTTTTTATCTATATTATCCTGTTGCGTGTTGTTCCCTGCGACGTGACAACACTGACTCTATTGGTACAGCCACTGTCCCTGCTGAAGCTTGGGAAACCAACTGAAGCGGCCACTGTCGAGTCTCATCCAGACTGGACTCCAAGGCCGGGCTTCCAGAATCGCTACTACCAGGTCTACCGGGGCTTATGAAGCTGAAGGGGTTTCGGCCGGGACAGCTGAAGGGGGGTTCTTGACTCGGCGTTCGAAAGGGTTTCCTAAAGCAGGCCAGTAATCAGGCAGTCGCGTGATTTATCGGCCCCTTGAATTGGATCCTCTTACTCTTATCTGTTGGTTCGGTTTCAACCTTTTTCGGGAGTACGATCCTGCCGCAAGAAGCGGTTTCTACTTTTTTGGTGGTGGTGGTGGTGGTGGTGATTTGCAGGCTTGTTTCATTTTTCAGGGCAGAGACTTGGCTAAACGAACTGCCTCTCTTTAAGTAGTTAGAAACTCGCAGGTCTCTTCTGAACAGCAATTTGTAGCGCCGGCCGCCGGCGGCCGCCAGCGGCCCCGGGCGATTGGCCGGTTTTTTTCAGGCGAGTGGATACCAGGGCTCGCGTGTCTTAGAGCACAACCAGACGAACCCGCCTCGCTTCAACCAGTATGTGGAGGCAAGTGACCGGCGACTTTACCAGAGAAAAGGAAAGGACAAAAACCCGATTGTTCTTAACTTGCTCTCTTTTTTTTCCTCGTCATTTTCTTCTGTGTCTAAAGTTGCTAGTTGGTCCATCGTCATTTTCTTCGAGCGTTTCCCACATCGATCGGACCAAGATGCAGAGCGGCGTTTCATGTACCAAACGCGGCGTTCCAGATGGATATGGATATGAAAAACACATTGATCTCCTCCCTTTCAGACATGTAGAACGTTGGGTTGATGGCAGCCAGAAGAAAAGCCGCCATCAACTGAGACTTCAGTGAGACCTATTTTCTTCAAAGCTCCTCTCACGATGATGTGACACGACAGAAACGGGTGTTTAAGTTGGCTGCTCATTGCATGACTTCAGGCCCTAGCAGCTTCCTTTACAAATCGGAGACTGCAGCGACCAAACTGTTTCAACGCAGCTCTTCAGACGCCCAACTTGGCTGCGACCCTTGACACTTGAGGACACGCCAAGTCCCTCGCTCACACCGGTGCCATCGCACCTTCCTTCGCACCGTCCGTGCCATCGGCTGTCGTACTGCGCGCGCCGTGCCACCACTCGACCGAACCCCGACGGCCCCGACGGCCAAACAAGGTGCCACTCGGTCATGACCCCCTTGGTGGACATGCAGGGTGAGGACATGCAGCACTCAGCCGTTTTGGCTGCTGGATCAGTGAAAAGTAAGGGCTACTCCGCTACCGCCAGGTGCTTTGGCCCGCCCAGACTGTGGTGGACGAGACCGGGCAGTGTGCTGGCCCAGCGGCCACAGAGTGTTGTCCGGCGGCTTTACCGGTTCCGGTTCCGGTTCCGGTTGGCCGAGTGGTTTTCCACGAATGAAAAGACAACGCCCAGCAAACAGGGTGGAAGAGGTCCAAATTCGTGGTGACTTGTGAGTTGCTGACTGGAGGGATATAGAGAGAGAGAGAGAGAGAGAGCGCTCTGAATGTTCTTGAAAAGGCTGCATTCGTTTTGTGGGGGTGTTACGGATGGAATTGTGCAGTTGAGTGGCAAACATGTTCAGCTCGGCTCTCTAACTCCCCAACGAACTTCACTGATTCGGTTTTTGCTTTTTCCATTTTTATTTTTTCTGGCTGGAGGAATTCTTTCACAACTGCAGATTCGGAAATTCAAACGCATGGTCTACAGTTGTGGCGTTTTGCTGTGGATTCAACTATAATACTATCTTAGTACTTCTCGGAGATGTCAATTACATGATTCGTTTGGTCGATGGGGATCTCGACCAAACCCATTCCCGACCATTCCCATTCCTACGACTGGGCTTGCACCAACAATTGTGAGGATCTGGATAGTGGACGCCCGATACCATCAGGCTGGATGTCGGTTTCGGGGCTCTTAGTACACTCTCTGAAATAGTCATGGAAGTGGAAAACCACCATTGTAGAGGAAAATTGTCATCCAAGAGGCCATGCCATCTACTACTACTTCACACAGTGTATACATGCGATGGTACTTTTTGGGTCTGTCGGGCTGCTTAGGATGTACAGTCCTCAGAAAAGGGGTCGGTCCATGTTCTATGACAAAAATTGACGAACCAAACAAAGGGGATGCTACATTCCTTTCACCTCAAGCAAATGCTACACTCCTGTGGGCCAACCTCAGAAAGGACTCCGAGGTGTGGCTCAGGGTGGTGTCGGAGGGTGGTGTTGGACACGGAGACGGGGGGACGGGGGATTCGTGGTTACGCTCCGATGGTCGGTTGACTGTGAAGGGAACGCTTCGATTAATAACTAAGTCAGAGAAGTGGAGAAGAAAGCAACATCAATGGCCGCGTTCGGAATGCGCAAGCAAGCTTGCATGGCGAGCGATGGCTTTCAAAGCTAGAGTGTTTCGCCACAGCAATCAGCATCATGTGGGTTGCTGCTCAGAACATTCGTTGGAGATCTATATTTTTTGCTGGGAATCCCACCACTGGGACCCTACGCATGGTTCATGGACACCCAGACCCACCTCTAAGGAGCTATTAATGGACCCGGCTAAGAACCCCTGGCCCCCGAACCAGGTGCTCCTCATGAAGACGACCAGCCGCTATGTGAGCTGGCCGGCCTTCTACACGGAGTATGCGGGTACCCGCGGCCTCTCCGGCTATGTGGATGGAAGTCGCCTCAAGGTCGGAGCACAGCACCGAAGGGTATAGCACCGAAGGGGAGCGCCAAGGGGTCACCGGCGACGGACGGGTGGGACAGATTCAAACAGAAAGGAGATGGCCCGAAATTTGGGTCCGGAATTGGCTTGGCTCCGACTTGACCTCCAACATCCAACAACTCTCCATTCCAAACGAAAAAGTCATCCCTTCCACTACTTTTGACGCCCCACCTACACCCGCACACCCCCTGCCAGGCTCGCTTCAACGCGCCCTCCGGCTTGGTCATTAGCACCGACCCTCGCCGGGCGCGGGGGGGTTCCGCGCCCGCGCGTCGCCCTGCGGGGTGGGGAGGAATGAAAGCAGGGCTCTTTGTTGACAGTTGACCGCAATCTACTGGAGCAACACAAGGAATATTCTAAAAAGGATGGTCCAAAGGACTGGCCCCGTCCAAAGCGGCCTTGTCATGAGATTGCAAAACACTCCTGGTTTCAAGGCCATGATGGGGGAGCCCCTTCTGAAGGGTACGAGTACGAGCTAGGCTTGACTTGATCTGTTGGGACTTCAGACTTGGGTTCTTAATCTCTGTGATTGATTCACTTGCAACAGGCCGGTTTGCACATGTCCCCATGCTTGCTTGCAGCTACGGTGAGACAATGGAGGAGTCCAAGGCTTCAATTTTGAAGTCCGGGCATCTGAATAGACTGGGCATATAATATAAAGATTGGACGCAATCTTTCTTGAACAATCAGCCGCCACTGTGACTTTTGGGGTGTGATCCGGCAAATCATGGATCGCGCGAGCCAATAGGTAGCTTCCCTTTCGTGAGAGTTTCAGATGGGGTGAAGTGGTAAGATGCAGCTTAGTCTCTCACAATGACTCCCACGTCGGAATGACATAGTGGTCAGTGGCAGGGGATTCATTTGTCGGATCTTTTTGCATGCTTGGTAGTATAATGTAGACATATGTAGACTCTTGATTCATCAAGCACCCAATTGAAATGGAACATCCTCTTCATATGGGGGGGTCTATGGTCCTCAAGAGTCTACATGATGTCATTCGTCGGTTCCTCGGCTTGGTCGTCCGCGCCTCCGACCCATCCGACCTCCGGCCAGCCTTGGCGGATCTACATCGCCGACAGTGGGGAGCTGAGCCGGAGGTGGAAGACCTCACGGAAGCTAAGCATCGGCTGACGCTGAGTGAGCCATGGAAGGCTCGAAAAGTGAGCTTCCAAGAAGTCGGTCTTAAGCATTATTAGACCTTTGAGATTCTGTGCTGAAGCTGGTCCTGGTGGTCCTCCTTTATCCTCACAGGTGGTTCGTTTGGAGTTCCTTCCGGTTCATTCGAGCTTTCGCCGTGCGGGCGCTTCCTCCTGGCAAAGCCACACAAAAGGGGGGGCGGCTTAGGAGCCTGCTCAGGACGAAAGACCCAGCAACATGTCGCCAAGCTTCTCGCCAAGTCGCCGTCTTCGTCTTCGCCGCCAGTCATGGGTTGCACCGAAGAGTGAAGCCATTCAAAGACTGTTTTGATGAGAATGATGGGCCCAGCTTCCGTTGGGCTTCAGAACGCCCATGTCCCCACTTCTGCGGGGTAGAATCAACAACAGTCTGACCACAGTCTGACCCGCCTGTGTCTAGAATCCATGGTAAAGACATGGTAAAACCTTCATGGTAGAATCAATTCCACAGACTGCCCCTCACAACCACCAGACTTTGGGTGGAGTGTGCATAGTGGCCCCGCTGGCCGTTGAGGTGGCAATCACTGCATCCGCGTCGTGGCCTACGAGTCGGGGCGCATTGCTACGGTGGCAGGTGCCGTGGGGGGGGGAAGACTTTTGGTTATTTGGTTTCCTGCAAAAAGGAGGTCAAAACATACCATACCAGGACCAGGACCGACCATCTGGGTGTCCTGGCTGGACTAACCCCACACTACCAAAGGCTTCCAGACAGGGCACCCCAACTATTACTTATGGTCCAGGATGGGCTTACTTATTGAACAGTCATCCCTGGACATCTGATAGGCATTGTTTTTCCAGTCATCCCAGGATGGTCATCATTAGGCATCCCGAAGTTGATTGAAGTGATTCTCCAAGAAGTTCTTGAACTCCGACAGACATCCCGCAGAGATCCTCCTACTCTGAACAGTCATCCGACAGACATCACGCTGTTCAGGCTCGCCGGTCACCAAGGGCTGGCGCGATGGGCCCGGGCAAGAGGCCAAGTTCGAGCAGCCCAGCAGCCTGGGCATGGACCCTGAAGGCAGACGGGAGATGCATAGAGATGGGAGAGATGCTTGGAGGTTGGGTGATTCAAAACGAATTTGCTGGTGGGACAGCTGGTGTAGATGTTGAGCTGTGGGTTTGGGTCTGGCTGGGGCGGTGATTGTGCTTATTTGGTACCAACTATATGATGGTCTGTGTGTCTCAGAGACTTCTTGGTTGTTTCGATAAGGGATAGGTACCACATGTATCCACATGTTGATTTCTGTTACATGCTTGGAAAGCCCCAGCACCACTTGTTGGCAACAGAACCAATGCAATTACAACATCACTGGACAAAGAATTGGGCACACGCCAGTCGTTTTCGCATGTTTTCGCTCAAGTGCACAATAGAGAAATCGCGGACATCGCCTCCTAAGCTTTTGATCACATCCATCATACGTGTTGCCACCTGCGTCATGCGACCTTGGCACGGCCCAAAAAAATCCCTCGGTGACAGTCTTTTCAGGTTGAACATGGTGAAACTGGAGTCTCCCTAGATTGAGCCCCCCCAACAAACACTCCGAGTGGGCAGGCCTACATCTCTTTGTCCTGGACAACTTCCGAAGGCGTGGCGCCGGCTTGCGCAGTGGCGACAGAAGTGCACCGGTATTGGTGATGGACTGGATTGGGTGAACCGGACTTGTTTGGAGAGGTTTTGTTTGATTTCAGGAAACACCTCTTTCACCCATGAAAAGCACCGCAGAACACGTTGGTCACCTGAATCGGTGAAATCCATGTTGGTATGAATGGTATGAATGAAACACGTCTTTTGCCTGATCTGAACATATCTGAACCACCCCTGCATCGGCCGAAGCCATGAACATGGGTATTGCTTTGCCAACGCCGGGCTTTCCACCGAGGACTTCGGCGAGACGCGAGTCTTCGGGGTTCCGGGCCGGACTCTGGGGTTGTGCGGCAGCGAATTCGAAGCCTGTGAAGGATCAGATATATCCAACTCTACTTGAAGAAGAAGACCGTGCGGGCTCTCAGATGGTCGAACTCGTGATGAGTTGGTACCAAGCGAGGTCCGGTCACCTGGAGCCTTTGTGACGAACGAAGATACGTTTATGAAGAAGAACGAACATCCGTACACTCGCATTGACTAACACCAAGTAACACATTGTTTCTAGCTAGGCAGAGGAAGGCCTCACCAAAGCCTGAGCAGGGGTCGGTCCAAAAACAGACTGTCCTCTGATGAGCATACCATACCTACATCTTAGAAACCCCTCTTCACACATGGTGGAAAATTCTATCTCACAGAGCCATTGAATTCTTTGACGCTTCCCAACCACCAAAACCCAGAACACCACTGGTTTTCTTTTGGGGATCGACTTGGCCATCGGACTAGGTCTGATTTGGAAGGGAAGGTTCATCTCCGCGACAGATCTTCTCCCAAGCCGTGGTGCAGGTTTGCTGTTCCTTTTGATGTTGGGTGTAGACGTGTTTCAACCGAAAAGCCTTCCAGGGAAAAAGACCTCGGAGAGGGATCCAACGTGGGCCAGCAGGACGGTGGCCAACCTCGTTCGGAGACTCGATCCGGGTTCGTCGTGGTTGGATTCCCCAAGCAGTTTTACTGTTGGGGTTCTCTGCAAAGGGGCCTGGTATCAATCGATTTCTTCTCCGAACCTTGACACTCCACGACTACCGGAGGTCTCCACCTTAGTGGGAGGCGCCTGCCGCGCAGTGGCACGTTGGACTGCAGGGAGACCCGGCTCCGGAGGGATGGAGAGATGGAGCGAGGCCGTGCATTCGCGCCCTCCGAAAAGGTGGATGGACAGCATCCAGACTTCACCTAAGCTGCGTTATGCTGCCAGGGTTGACCGATTTGATCAAGACAAGTCATAAGCAAAACTCGACTTCAACACACCCCATGAGCTGAGCCACACTGCCCCCAGCCGCACCAAAAACCTGCCGTGAACCGCACCGTTTCCGACGAACCGCCATGGACGTGCGCGCGGACGTGCGAGGTTTATGAGTCGATCGTGCAACGGCGCGTGGGTTGCCATCCCGTGGCTTGGGCGATTGTGGGCGGTGTGGGTGGGCACGTGAGGCAAGGGCTGATGAGGACGGAGATGTTGCGGAGGTTTCGTTGGGCTGTTTACATAGGACTCGTGGGCATGTGCATGGATATAGCGTTTCCCATGTAGGAAATCTTGTTCAATTGTCTGATCAAAACGGTGTTTCGATTCACCTTCGCGCTTGGTTGAAGATCCTGACACTTTGCGGGAATGGACCTTTGCGGGAACATCATCTACGATGGACCCTTGAAGTGAACCCTCTCTGGCTCCTTTGATGTGCGACAAAGACGCCTCCTCTGGGCCGTGTGGGGGGGGGGCAAGATCACTGATTCGATTGTCGGGACGAGCGTTGAATCACCAATCGAAGCCGCTGACGCTACAGCACTACTCACTACGCTTCATGAAATCATGGGCCAATGTGGATGGAATTGGATGGGATAATGGTCCCGGTTTGACTCAGAGGAGCATGGAATCAATCCGAAGACCAAACAGGTGGCGCCATCAACCCAAGACCATGATGATTTCAGGGAGGATATTGGGTCAGGTGGTATCTATACTCACAGGCCCTTAAATGTTGTTGGGAGCTCAGAAGACTGATGATTCATGAGTTTCACCATCTGCAGTCAACTGGTTTCACAACGCTGGCTTCCGCAGTTCCTCAACTGGGTTCTTTCGACGCTCCGCTCGGGAACCTGGGAACCGGCACCGTCGCAGTCGGAGCAGGTCCTCGGGCTGTGGGATCGCCAATCCGATGCAGATCACGTACGTCCAACTGATGGAAGTCTGTGACAAGATGAACACCTGTAGCCTGTAGTACTGTACAGTCCCAGATATACAGTCGCCTTGATTTACAACATTTTACAACTATATAGATCGAGCAGTTGAAGAGACAAACGGCGAAGAGTAGAACCCCTTTCTGGAGAAACACTCCAACTTTCAACAAGATACCTCGTTTTCGCGAGACAGCGGACTCGAACGCATGCAACCAACGAACCGCTGAACAGCAACCAGAAACGCCCCGCCCGGTCGCAACGAACGAAGAGCCCGGTTCCTGCGTCGTGCCTTCGGTCTCCGTTTCGCCCGCCCAGGACTGGTCTGCCACCCTGGCGGGGGAGCAGGTGCCCAGACACCTCGTCCGTCTCCGTCGCGGCGGGACCACTGGTGCTTTCGGACCGCGTTCCACGGACCGATGGGTTTCGGAAGGGGGGGATTGGTGTGGTACCACGTGGGTCCACCCAGCGAGGGATGGAACCATCCATCGCTTTGACCCATCACTCCATGGGACTCTAGGACTGGAAGATGGAACGAGACATGCGGGGTGGTTGGTTGACCCGGGGGTGAAAGTCTAGGCAGGTAAACAATGGTAAACATGTCTAATTAATATGGTACCATGGAGTCATGGAGTGTTTGATTCTTTTTAGCCCAAACTGACCACGTGGGTTAAACGGGGGGGGAATACAAGTTTTTTTGAGCGGCCGTCACGTAGCTGCTCTCGAAAAGAAGGCACTGCCAGGCCCGGATCGCTGGTTTCTGGATTGAAGTTTGACTTGAAGTTGCATGCAGGCTTTCAGGTAGCAAGGGATAGATTCCGAAACCTAGCAGCCTGCTTTCGAGGAGTAAACATCACTTGAAGTCTTGAAGTCGCTCTTTAAAAGCAGCCATTCATTTGGCAGGACACCACCCTTACACATCCTCAACCCTGCCACTTCTTTCCGTCCACTTCTTTTGGGTCAGGTGGACGTCTATGTCTCAGGCGCCGCGTCAAGCGGGGCACAGACAGAAGGGAACACACGACGGCGCTGGGTCGCCTTCTGGGTTGTTTCGGAAGAGGTTGATGTTGGGGAAGGATCCTGTGGAGTATCATGGAGTTTTTTTTTTCATGAAAAAAACGGTGTTCTTTTGGTCCTGGATGCATCTATTTAGTTCTTTTTTGGCGTTTGCGTAAATGCATGGACAATGAAAATAGGAAAAAGGCACGAGAGAGATCACCGTTTGCTTGCTCAATCGCATGTGGAGCAACCTCCGGCGGGTACTTCCACTCGATGCTCTTGAAGGATGCTTGAGTGCAGCCACAAGGCGTTCATCACACCTACCAATGTTTTGAAGGTGTCTTGTTACGGACAGGCTTTCCTTCCCCCTCTGTTGCATGGGTTCACTGTGTGGCATCAGTGGACGTTTCTCTAACATAGCTTGGAGAAGGCAAACTGGCCATGTATAGCGAGCATCTTGCATCATGGTGCAACTGAAACTATCTCATCATTCGCTACCAACTTCCAACATGTCCAGTCGTTTTTCGAAACCACCCTCGCAGATCGTCTTTAACCCCTTAAGGTTATTTGTGGGATACCAAGCATGCAATCTGTCCCAGACACTCCATGGGACTGCCATAGGACTGCCGCCCCATTGACCCCCCTGGCACCACCCCTGGCCTGATCGGCAGTCCTATGGCAGTCCCATGGGTCGTGTCTGGGTGTGGGAATGTCCAACAAAACCAATTGATTTCCGACTGGTTCCCGCGACATGCGGAACCGAACCCACGCGGGGGAACATGGTCTAGAAAGAAAAGGGAGGGACATCCTGGCGAAGCAACTTCCAACCGGCAGGAGAACTGGTGCAAAAAAAGCTGGTGCGGTCGGTGCATTCCCCCAAGCACTCTGAAACTGGTGGCCGCCCAAAAAGACCCTTCAGTGACCCGTGGGGCCACGCGGGCCAGGCGGGTAGCTCGGGTAGCTCGTGGACGTTGCACCTAGACGGCATGTCTGTCCGTCCAGGCGAAGGGATCTTCAAGTGCACTGGCCATCAGGCAGGTTGGGTCGCTACATGTGATGCACAGGGGTAGTAGGCGCGGCAGGAGAGTCATTCACATGTAGATGGCGAAGGGGTTCATTGAACAAGAGAAGGGTCTCTGTGGATGGAAGAGGATGTAAAGGGGTCTTGCTGATGGATACACCATGAAAATCACCAGCTATTTCCTCCATCGCAGTCCGTTCAGCGCTTCAAATGAATCTTAGTCCACCGTAGTCCATCTAGAACCGACCAATTTTCATCACCTGCTTGTTTTGCTGCATTTAAAAAAAACGACACACACCTGTGAGTGCCACCGCCACTTCCAAGCCGGAACATCCAGACTTCCCTTCCCATCACCGAAACGCTCAGGCCACCTGTGCGCCGCGGAACCACCCGGCCCTCGCGGATCGGGTCTCCACCCAGTTGCTGTCCAAGGCGGACCGGCTCCACCGTGCGTCCGGTTCGGTCGGTTTCGTCGGTCCTCAACCGGACGCCGGCGGAGGGGGCGGTGAAGACAGGGCCCTGTCGCACAGGGGGTGGACAGGTGAATGGCTTTATTGCTGATCCGTGCGAGGATGACATGCCATTTGCATGGTCTTCTTTGTTGGGAGGTTTGGGGGGAAGAACACTGATGGGGTGGAAAGTGCATCTAAAAAGATATCACGTATAATGAGATTTGGTTTTGTCTATTGATACAGCATCACCATGTGTTTCAACTCGATCCGGAGTCCATTTCGGACCCTGTGGTCCGGGTCCATTCATCCCACCTTGAAGAATCACCGGTGTCCCCAAAGAATCCCTCGGAAGTTCGAACGTCAACATCCGGAAGAACCTGAAACTTTCCTGAACATCGACCCGTCAACATCTGTGAACATCTGTCAACATTTGGGAGCCCTGTAGATAAACATCGAGGAACAAGGTGAACGCCGAAAGACACTTCGACCACTTCGACCACTTCGACTCTCGCGCGCGCGCGGGCGCCTCTTCGTCTTTGTTTTACTGGCACACATCGGTGTGAGGCCTATGCTCAGAGCCTGTTGGAAGGGATTCCACCGGAGGATCCCTACGACATGCCCTTGGTCTTGCCCGGGGTCCCCATGGGCGATCGGATCGAGCCATCGGATCGAGCGGAGTGCGTTCCGGCCGCGAAGCGAAGGACGCGACGTCGCGCTTTGGTCGGTCGCGCGAACGCGCGTGGCGTCGCGAGCGGCGGGGGCTTATGCGGAGTTGGGAAAGGATCGGTTCGGCGTTTCCTTTGCTAAATGTTTCTCCATTTTTGGGCCTATGGATGATATGACACTGCAAGATGAACATGATGAACACAGATGTAAACACTGCGCAAGGCCTCCAACCCAATGGTCGCCGAGGGAGAATGGTACCCAAATCCATCCATCTTCGGATCGCAGCTCGGCGTGCTTTCCGCCGATGACGGATGAAGCCGAGGCCACCTGCAAGCCAATGAGCACCGGGGCGCGAGGCCACCGTGTGAGTCCAGCGAGGGCACGGTGAGGCGTGTTGCGAGGCGAAAGCCGCTGCCGGTCCTTGAAGGATCAGGCGAGAGATCAATGAGGGGCGCGAGCGCGGGGGTTGAGAACTTGCAGAGACCATCGGCGACCTCAGAGAAGAGAGAGAGAGAGAGAGAGAGTGGGTGATAGAGAGGTATAGATAGCTAGATAGATTGATTTAGATAGCTAGATAGATTGATTAGATTAGATTAGATGAGATTAGATTAGATTAGATGAGATGAGATGAAATGAGATGAGATGAGATGAGATGGATAGATAAATAGATAGATAGATGAGATGGTAAAGCCAAGAAGTATCTCTCCAATGCATTCTTAAATGACCACGTAGTTTTCATGTGGTTTTCTCCATTTGACATAGCTCGGTGGCCATGCGGATTGCCATGTTTCATCAATGTCAGAAGTCCTCTCTCCGGAACTTCCAACCCCTGCAGCTGTGTGGTCTTTCGAGCAAAAAAGGGGCGCCGCCATGGTCTCCGCGATGCGCGCGCGTCGACGCTTCAGAGCCTAGGAGGGCCGCCCGAAGGGCCCGAGGTTTGGGCGGTTTGGAGCGGTTGGGAGTTTGGAGCGTCCCCCAAATCCATCGAAGGTTCTCAAGAAACGCCGGAAAGGACGGGTTTAAGCCGAATATGTCAAATGATCTGTATTCAACAATCATGGTGGTGTTCGTTTCCCAGCTGCTTGAAGAGGAAAAACATGGAAAAACGATTCATTGAAGCCTGGTGGAGCTTTTTCCGTGGTTGTCGGAGTCTCGCATTTCTGATTCTTCTTGTTCCGTCTTGGCCGGCCTGGAGGCTACTCTACATTCAACATCCCTATCGGAGACAGAGAAGTCTGTTGAAAAGTGTGAGCTTAGAAAGAGAGTTGCCAGCAACAACTTCCAGACCTTGCTGGAACAAAAACACCCATGCAATGCACCCTGGCTTGATGGGTGCACCCTGGCTTGATGGGTGCACCCTGGCTTGATGGGCGTCCTGCCTGTCAATGATCCGAAAGCCTTCGTTCGTGTACGTCGTCTACGTCGTCCCCCTTCAAGGGGTGTCCTGTCTGGAGATCCTGGATAGTGATGTAGGGGCTTCCATCCTGGTGACCCCTTTGAAGGTGCTGGTACGTAGTCCACTGATCTCTTTTCGTCCCGCAAGCCGAGCGGAGCTTTTCGTCTTTTGGCCCAAGGATGTGCAAGGGTTCATGGTGACAGACCTTCTATTTTGCACAAGGTTTCAAGATGTTCTGAGTGTTTTGCTGATGGCGACAACAGATCCGCACCCATCACACGTGTGTGGCTTACGACCGACACGGTGTTTGTTCGACCAAACAAAATGCGGTGTTTTCTTGTTTTCTGCCGCACGGCACGCACCATGCTGGGTAAAGCACCGACCCGAGTCCGCCGCAACGGATGAGTCTAGCAACGCCCTTCTGGACGGTCCGAAGACCGGGAAGGTCTCTTTTTTGGACGAACACACCCAATGAGTCGGCTGCAGCTGGTGTTGCGATCCTCAACATTCCTCAACGAGCCAGATGAAACACATTCTAATACATTCTCGTTTTGGCCACAGACACCCGATCCACGAAGCCGTAGAAGTTTGCGAAGATCGCCATGAAGGTGTCGACCAAGGTGGGGTGATGGGTCGAAGGGACGTGACGGCGGTGGTTGGCGCTTGGCGGCCGCGGGGTTGGCGCGTCTGGACGCTTTCCATCAAGCAGCCTGTCGCCTCTGCACCCCCCCCCCTTCGTGAAGCGGTCAGCCTGTTTCTGCAGGCAGCCTCAAAGAACCGATGTTCGATGATTTTCGCGTAAAAAGCCAAAGAGCGCTTGTCTATTTGTCTTTTCCAAGGTTTGCGGACTTTTAGAGGGGGAGTTGTTTCTGATGGAAATCCAGCATTCCTTCTTTCGAAGGCCCACACCCACAGTGTTTTTTTCGTGAAGGGTGATAGATAGTCATATTAGGTGCATTTAGTCGCAGGTGCTCAACATGGCCTGCCTTTTGGGTAGGACATGTCTGCTGTCTGCGAGGCTGAAGCATGGTGATAGTCATGGAGTCGACCCCTTTGCACCCCGACCACAGGTCTTCACGACAGGTCTAGCTGTGACACGGATGGTCCAGCTTGAACCGATCCGGTGAAGGGGCTCCCGGTCGAAGGGGGGGGGGGCTCGTTGAGCCTTACGTGAGAGGCAGAGCTATGTTGGCAGCTGTCATCTCTGTTGGGCGAGGAGACGCAGGTGGGGGTTGTGGGCGCTGGGCGCTTTGGACCTGGAGTTGTTTGGCTGAGTGGGAGGAGTCTAAAGATGGGTGGTGAGTGCGGAGTGATGTGCCATGTCTAAAGTGTTCATTGCGCAGTCACTCAGGATATCATGGAACTGGTGGTTGCTAAATCGCTTGCCAACTGCAAGAGTGCCACAACCCTGGCCCGAAAATCCCAAGTCACACCGATTTGGATGGATTTGGAAGCTATACTTAGAGACTGACTGGAGGATTGCATGTTGGTTGGATGAACCTTTTGATGTGGTCCTCCAAACAAGTCTGCTTGGCACCTGCTGTGCACTTCCAAGCCGAACTCAGCACCATCACGGGCGATCCAACCCGTTGGCCCTCTGGGCGATCCAACCATTCTGCAGACCTGAGATAGTTCCTACTGAAAAGCACCTCAAACAGAGGAACAGGGTTGCACTTCTACAACAACAGGGTTGCATGCTACATGTTTCCATCAACAACAGCTTGGATACTCTTGGTGTGCGAGCGGACATGTCTGAAGTTCTCTTCACTTGGAAGATATGTGGTCTACGCTTATGTTCGACTCATCCGAAGATCTCTGTCTCCACTCGATTCGAGGCTGCCGAAGTGTTGAAGCAGCTCTCCTTTGAAGAGCTTTTGGAGTTGGTTCAGGAACTGGGAGAGGACCGCTAAGAGCCAATCAAACTGAGACTGGATGGACACGGCCAATCCTCAAGCTATGCCAAGCCATGGTTTAGGGTTCCACTCAGAGAACCATCGATGAACAGGGAAAGCCTCCTTTTCAAAGCTGATGATGGGTTTCCTCAACAAGGACGACGTTGGACCTCGGCAAACGGTTTCACTTGCAGAAGTCCGAGAAGTCCTGGACCTGGTTTTCGTGCTCTGGGGCTCCGACCTCAAACACTCCAATAAAAGAATAACGCATGGGATCGAGAATTCGGGTTTTCCATGCAAAAGGCGGTCCATTTTGAGGCTGGCTTTGATAGGTTTTGATATCCGCCCAGAAGATGGCACAGCGAAGATCCAATGAAGGATCACCGAACAAGGATCGCACTTGCGCAACCGATTTGCTCGATGGAAACCTATGCAACTTGGGAGGAGGTCCCTCAGCTCCGCATATTGACCCGCCATGACAACGACCCGCCATGAACGACCCGCCAGGTTCATACGGTCTGCTGTTTGGGTCCGACAAGGGTGCCGCAAGGTTCTCTTTTCCAGTCAATAGACGTGGAGCAATCACTGTACTGAATTACAGAATCAGTTCTGAAAACTATATAATGGTCCTTCTTTTCATGACTCTACAATATGACCAGGTCAGATCTTGTTCCCATCATTTTCCATCCCATGGCGGCAGGAACCTCAAGACCTCTCAGCCAGCTGGTCCTGCCGGCACTTTTTGCGTCCAAACCGCGCAGAGCTCACGGGTGGTCGTTGGCGCAGGAAGGAGATCCGATCGGACATGGGGTTGTGGCAGGAATTCGTTCATGATTTCAGTCTTGCACACCAAATCACGCCCACTACATCACAAAAATACTATAGAATTAACTAATCTCTGAAAAATGGGATGAACACCCAGCAATCAGCAATCCTTCCAAAAACACATCAAGAACCCCAACCAGACTTGGCGGCCGAACCCACGGCTCCGGCCGCACCCGCTCCGAACGCGCTCCGCTCCGCTAGGTCCGTCCTGAGGTCTCCGTTGGCGGTCCCTCCGTCGTCGGGGAGCGGAGACAGAGTCAACTGGACCTGGTTGGGGAGCGGAGGTGGACCAGGTTGGAGGTCTAGGTGGACTGGTGGAAGAAACCAGGTGGTTTTTGTTGGAGTCACCAGTCCACCAGTCCAAACAGGTGAAGTCCAGGTGGGGTCTTGTCTTTGGCAAACACTGAATTTCCAAACAGGTGGCCAGGTGGGAGGTTTCGGGGCAACCTCTTGGCAACATGGGCGTTTGATTCTTTTGTTGGGGCTGTTGATTCTTCAAAATGCCTGCTTGAGCGGTGCAGTCACTTGCTTGGCGCGAGGAGATTTGTTCCTAGCCGGCAATTTCCATGAGCGATTCGTTCTAGAAGTGCCAGAAGTACTAGTAGCAGGAGGAGGGGCAGTAAAAGTAAGTAGAATCAGAAACAACAGTGATCGTCCAGCGGCAGCTGTTTTTGGTTGTATTCCTTAAAGCTTGGCCTGCTGCTGTGGTCACCCCGCAAAAAAGGGGCGCCGTGCGCCGGGCCCGCATAATGCCAAGTCTCGCGGGCACCTGCCCACTCAGGTGCGGCCCTGACGAGTATGTGAACGTTTGCGCATGGTGTCGGGGATCTCAGCGACGCAGAGGGGAGCACGCGGAGGGAGGGGGTTTGAGCACCATCGAGCGAGCGAGTTCAGCTGTGCGAGAGGAGGGGGGCGTCCTACGGCCTTTTGGGAGGAGAAGCACGTCACGACATGAGGAGCTGACCAAATAGCTATGCATCCAATGAAAGCCACACACTTTTGGGGTCCAACTCCCAAAAGACAGGTTT